GCCTGGGTGGCTCAGTCAGTTGAGCATCCGACTTCGGCTCAGGTCATGATCTCACGGTCCGTGAGTTCAAGCCCCGCGTTGGGCTCTGTGCTGACAGCTCGGAGCCTGGAGCCTGCTTCGGATTCTATGTCTCCCTCACTCTGACCCTCCCCTGTTCATGCTCTGTCTCTCTCTGTCTCAAAAATAAATAAACATTAAAAAAAAGAAAAGAATCTTTAGATTGCTTTGGATAGTATGGACATTGTACTCCTACTGATTCTTCTAGTTTATGAGTATGGAATAGCTTTTCATTTATTTGTGTCTTTAATTTCTTTCATTAATGTTTTAGAATTTTCAATATTCAGATCTTTCACCTTCATTAACTTTATTCCTAGGTATTTTATTCTTAGATACAATTGTAAATGGGATTGTTGTCTTTTTTTTTCTGAAAATTTCTTATTAGAAATTCAACTGATTTTTGTATCCTGCAACTTTACTGAATTCACTTAATTAGGTTTAATAGTTTTTTGATGAAGTCTTTAGGGTTTTTGTATATACTATTATGTCATTTGCAAATAGTGACATTTTTACTTTTTGCTTTCCAGTTTGGATGCCTTTTATTTCTTGTTCTTGCCTGATTGCTGTAGCTAGGACTAGATAGCTTCACTGGTGAATTCTATCAAATATTCAAAGAAACATTAATACCTATCCTTTTCAAACTCTTCCAGAGAATATAAGGGGAGAGAAGTCTTACAGACTTACTTTATGAGGCTTTCATTGCCTTTATACCAAAACCAGAGAAAGATGCCAAAAGAAAAGAAAATCACAGGGCTATATTCCTGATGAACATAGATGTAAACATCCTCGAGAAAATATTAGTAAACTGAATTGAACAATACATTAAAAGGATCATACACTATGATCAAGTGAGGTTTATTCTAGGGAAGTAAAGATGGGTCAGCGTCCATAAATCAGTCCATGTGATGTATTATATTAACAAAATGAAGGGTAAAAATCATAATGATCATCTTAGTAAATGTGGAAAAAACATTTGACAAAAATTCACCATCCAGTTATGGTAAAAATTCTCAACAAAGTGAGTATAAAAGGAACATACATCAATATAATAAAGGCCATATATGACAAGTCCACAGCTGACATTCTACTCGGTGAAAAGCTGAAAATCTTTCTTCTAAGATTAGGAATGAAACAAAGATACCCACTCTTGCCCCTTTTTTTTTCACCATAGTATTTGATTTTACATCTTCATTGCTGTTGGTTACATGGATATATACAGTTTCCAGACTATAAGGATCTATTTCATTATGTAAGTAATATGTAGAAATGTAAAAATGGAAATTTTTGCAAATGTGGACCTCTTTAGTAACTTCTATTTGTATATCTACTACTATTATGTATGTAAGATTTTTTAAAAACATGTTTAGGCTAACCATCATTTGATATGAAAATTGGATTAGTAGTGCTGATATTGAAGAAACTCAGATTTCTACTAGATTAGAATCAGGCCAGTAAAGTTCAGACATTGATGTTGGTCTTATAGCCATAAGTGAAACTTAGCTATTTGATCAGACTCCTTTTTCATTTCCTGCTGTATGTTGTAGGTATAGCACATTTTATACTTTCAGTTATTGATTTTTCCTTCAGGATCAAATGTTCTTAATAGCATTTATACTTTTTTCATTGAATAAGTTTCTTACCTTTTTTTTTTTCTTTCTTATCACTATTTTCATTGTTTACTATTCATGTACTTACCCATAATGAGTTAATAGTGTCCTTTATAAAATTGCCTCAGAACTAAGGACAGGTATACCAAATATAAATTAGCAAACAACTGTGATAGCCATGATTAAACTAAAATGATCTTAAATTTTTTTTTCAACGTTTATTTATTTTTGGGACAGAGAGAGACAGAGCATGAACGGGAGAGGGGCAGAGAGAGAGGGAGACACAGAATCAGAAACAGGCTCCAGGCTCTCAGCCATCAGCCCAGAGCCTGACGCGGGGCTCGAACTCACGGACCACGAGATCATGACCTGGCTGAAGTCGGACGCTTAACCGACTGCGTCACCCAGGCGCCCCTAAACTAAAATGATCTTATACAACCACTAAGTGTCAACTAATAGCTGTGGGCATGCCTGAGGAGCCTTTGTTCTACATTTTAACTTTTGAACTCATTTAGAAAGATTAGTCCAACATTGAAATTTCTGTCAAATCTAGTTAGATATATTGTGTGATCTCTTCAAATCAATAGGAAAATATAATGTACTGTATTTTTAAAAACTTTTGTAGTGACTTCACTTTTCAGTCTTTACAGTAATCCAAGCTAAGAGTTTGTCAAAATAATAGCAGAGAATGGAGAGGGAGAAAAGATGGTGGTTTGAGCATAGATGAAATAAGATTGAGCATGTATTTATAATTGTTGAGAATGTTGGAGAAAAAGAAGTACATCTGCACTTTAAAATAAAGAATCTTAAGTTTTATATCTAATCTCCAAAATAAGAATCTCTTGAAAGAAGTTATAATAATCTATATTTTTGAAAAATACCCTATGTGTGTTTTATTTGGCTAGTATACCATTGCACCCAAGGTCTGTTTTGTTTTCTTTTCTTTTCCTCCTCATGAGCAGTTTCTTTATTGGTGGGAGATCTTGCTATGACAATCTATGAATTGTTGCCCAAATCTCTTTATAAAAATTTACCAGTGGGCTCTTAAAAAGAAGCTGCCTGAGTGGCTCACTCAATTAAGTGTCTGTCTCTTGATTTCAGCTCAGGTCATGATCTCATGGTTTGGGAGATGAAGCCCCATATCAGTCTCTGAGCTGACAACGCAGAGTTTGTTTGGGATTCTGTCTCCCACTCTATCTGCTCACCATCCCCCCCTCCCCCATCTCCTTCTCTCTCTCTCTCTTCTTTCTGTCTCTCTTTCTCTCTCTCAAAATATCATTTTTAAAAAATTTACCAGTGGGCTCTTCTAATTAGATTATTCCAATTGCTTACAAATCAGCTGTTGTGACTCCTGATTCACATTCTACTCTTGCTACTGCTCTATTTTTCTAATGTCCTTTTAGCCAAAGTACCCGAATTATCTGTATTTGTTATGTCAGGTTATCCTCTTTTTTCTTCATTAACCTCCAACATTATTTTGTTTCCACCACTCCATAATAAATGATCTTGTCAAGATGACCAGTGACTTACTTTAATACACAATGACAGTTCTTTTTTTTCTTAAAAAAATTTTTTTTTTACATTTATTTATTTTTGATAGAGACACAGCACAAGTGGGGGAGGGGCAGAGAAAGAAGGAGACACAGAATCTGAAGCAGGCTCCAGGCTCCGAGCTGTGAGCACACAGCCTGACACAGGGCTCGAACTCAGGAACTGTGAGATCATGACCTGAGCTGAAGTCGGACACTTAAACGACTGAGCCACCCAGGCGCCCCCACAGTGACAGTTCTTAAATTCTGATTAACATAGTTGATAACTTCTTTCGTCTTGAAACATTTTTTTTTTTCTCACTTTGCCTTTAGGATATTACTTGGACTCATTGCTTCTCTTCAGTGTCTTTTGCTTGTTCTATCTCTTCTTTCTGATCTCTTATTTTTGTAATATTTCAGGGCTTAATCATTGGCCCTATTCTCTTTTTTGTCTGTGCTCATGCTCTTGATGCTTTCATCTAAATTCATTGCTTTAAATATCATCTGTAGGCAGATGACTTCCAAATTTATATTCTCAGTTTGGATCTGTCCCCACATCTCTGAATGCCCATATTCAGCTGCTTACTAAGGATGCCACTAGGACATCTTTCAGGTATTTTAAACTAACATTTCTAAACACAGATATCTCATCTAGGCTCTCTCCAAACTGCTCTTGCATATAGCGTTATTCTGGTTCAGCTTATTGGCAGTTCTGTTCTACCAGACTGTCACATATGTAGGAGTATGTTGAATGACAAATTTAGTGACCATCTTTGCTTGCTATACACAAAGGTATTTTTTGTAGCATGTGTTACAAGTAGAATTTGTGGTGAAGTTTAAACAACTAAGTAGTACTAAACCATTTAGCATGGGGGAAAATAGCCCAATAAATTTAGGGTGACTCTAAAATTTGGAACATAAATTTATGAATATTACCAATTTTTTAATAGAAAGGTTATGATGTATTTTTGTTAATGTTACTGTTTCAAGTTCAGGCTGTTTCACTTTGTAATGTATTGGCTGTACATGCAGAAAACTTCACAATGGCTTAAGAAAGTGGGGGATTTAGTTTTCTTACATATCAAGACATTCAAAAGTAGGCATTGGTTAACATTGGTGCAGCTTGTTTTGTCTTTCTACTTTGTCAGGCTTATTAGCTGGTTTCTCATACTCACACTTGTTACCTTATGGTCATAGGATTATGGTTGCAGCAGTAGACATGTTTACATCTGTCCCAGGATAAGGAAAACAAATGTCTGCCCATAACCAACCTCATTCCATCCCCAAAGCAGACTTCATATGTCACTGATCTCAACTATGTCATCTAACCCCTGTGCACCCTTTTTGGAAGGCTCAGTTGTGGATATTTAGCTGGGTCCATTACCACCATGAATAAAGTAAAATTTCTGGAAAGGAAGGAATAGAATCTGATCAGCATTTAGCATTGTATGCCTCCCAAAACAATCAAAAACTACTAAATTTAAATATAATTGGTAATTAGAATTTGTTTTGCTTAGAAAAAAATTATTATTTCTCAGTAGGTTCAAATAAATGGGATTTTAATGGTAGATAGGCATTTGGTATTTGATATACGTAAGGGCTCGCCATAGTTGACAAATGTATTAAAAACCAGTGGTTAAGAAGCTACTTTTGTATTTAGAAGATAGCAAATTTGTTTGTTTACACTGGTGAATTTTTGATAATTTTAACTTACATTTTGAGGCAAATAAATTAGAAGAGATGATCCTTAAAATCATAAAGATCTATTTTTATTGTTAATTTTGTTTCTTTCTTTTCGTTTCCATAGAATGTTGGCTCGATTAAGAAACATCAGGGAGAGAACTTCAACCCAGTGGTAAGTAGCTTTAATTTCTTTTGTTAGTCTTACTCTTTTGTTTGTATTATTATTATGACTTTTCTTGGTTGGCTTCTCTTTGTGCATTTGATTAGAATATTTTTTATGTGTCCCAGGTTAAGTCTGGTTTATAAAGTGGCTCTTGCTTACCATTACATTAAAATTCTTATGAACATTCCCCAAGTTGATCACTTCCTTTTCAAACCTGACCAGACTTTCTTCCTTTGGTTTACTTCCTAGTAGTATTGTGTAAGGGAGGATCTCTTTGGTTGTTAGTATTCATTTATTTCTTTCATATGGTATTTTACTCCTGTGCCCTCATTGATTAAGGTCCCTTTCCTTTCTTAACAATCAGCAGTTTTAGTCTGCTAAATTAGGGTCCATTTTTGTATTGGCTTGAGGCCCCCTGAATTTAATCTAAGGTCTAACCTGCTTTCTTCGTAGCCTCTGTCAACAAGAGGTTTTTACTTAAGATGTAACCTTTTTCCTAAAGCATCTGATCTTAGTTTTTTTTTTTGATAGTTTTTAAAATTTATTAAATATAAAATAGTTTATAAAATTTATTTTTAAAATAGTTTTAAAAATTTATTAATTTTGCGAGAGTCAGAGATAGCGTGAGTAGGGGAGGGGCAGAGAGAGAAAATCCCAAGCAGGCTCCGCGCTACCAGCACAGAGCCCAATGTGGGGCTCAAACTCACTAACTGAGATCATGAAGTGAGCCGAAACTGAGAGAGCCTTAACTAACTGAGTCACCCAGGTGTCTCTAATCTTCCTTTTCTGAATTCATTTTCTCTTCTGATATGTTTTAGAATTTCTGACTATCTGTCTGCAACATGATCTTTGGTTAGCACTACAGAAGAACCTTGGATGTTGTTTTACCTTCGTTAACCTTTACTCTGGGGGTGCCTGAATGGCTCATTCGGTTGAACATCTGACTCTCGATTTTGACTCAGGTCATAATCTCTGGATGGTGAGATCAAGCCCCGCTTTGGACTTAGTGCTGAATGTGGAGCCTGCTTGGGATTCTTTCTCTCCCTCTCTTTGCCCCTCCCTATCTCGTGTACACACGCTGGTGCTCTCTCTCTCAAAATAAATAAGCAATAAAAAGAACAATAAATAACCAATAAATAAGCAATAAAAAGAACAATAAATAAGCAATAAAAAGAACACATTCTGTCTTGTAAATTATCTTATGCTTCAAGTGTGCTGCACGCATGACAACATCTCAAATAAATACGTTCTTTTAAGTTGCATATATTTGGTAGTAAACATTTCATGCCCAGTTATAGTCCCAAATCCATTATGATTTCTGGGATTTTTAGGCCCTATCTTCCAAGTTTTGGGGTACTATCGTATTATATAAATAAAAGCATATAGTAGTTATAATATGGTGAACCAGAGCAATAGTTTCAAACATTGAACCAACATTGCCCCATCGAACTTTCTGCACTAATAGAAATGTTCTCCATCTTCTTTTACTGAGTATAGTATCCACTAGCCACATGTAGCTGTTGAACTTTTAAAATGTGCGTAGTGTGACTGATAAAAGAGAATTTTAATTTGATTTGATTTAACTTGAATTTTAAGGTTAAAATGGCTATGTGTCCATTGGCTACCATATTGGAAAGAGCAGATTGAATTCCCTATTGTTCTTAAGTGTCGTCTTAACTCATTATCAGTTGAAATCTTAGAATCCCTGCAGCAAGAAATTTCATAATCATTTTTGGAATCTTTTATTTTTGCTATCCCATAAACACACAAGTATAAGCTAAATTCCCCTTTAGCAATGAAATTCTCATTAGGTCAATAAAACTGCTTATTCTTGGCAGTAAAACACACCTTCATATAAACATAGATTATTAATAAGCATTCAGTAAACTTTTCTGGATATTTCTTTGTTGACAAAGTTTTTTTTGTATTGAAGTATAATGGACATGTAACATTATATTCATTTCAGGTGTACAACATGATTCATTATATGTATATATTGCTAAATGTCCACCACAATAAATCTAATTAGTTAACATTCATTACCATATGTAGTTAACAAATTTTTTTCTTACAGTGAGAAATTTTTTTTAGAATTTTTTTTAAGTTTATTCATTTATTATTTCTGAGAGAGAGAGAGAGGGAGGGAGAGGGAGAAAGAGAGAGAGAGAGAGAGAGAGTGCACAAGCAGGATGGGGCAGAAAGAGAGGGAGACACAGAATCCAAAGCAGGCTCCAGGCTCTGAGCTATCAGCATAGAGCCCAAAGAGGGGCTCCAACCCACAAACTGTGAGTTCGTGACCTAAGCCGAAGTTGGAAGCCTGATTGTGCTACCCAGGCACCCCTCCATGAGAACTTTTAAGATCTCTCTCAGCAGTTTTCAAATATGCAGTACAGTATTATTATTAATTACAGTCACCATGCTGTATGTTATATTCCCATGAGACAAAGATACTATGTAGTAGAAACTTTTGTTTAACACCATAGTGTAGGGGAGGAAAAATTTTTCTTTGACCCTTTTAGGGTCTTTGGCTGGATGTAAAAAGTAAACTTACAAAGACAGATTAACAGGAGAAAGCATGCAAATTTATTTAATGCAAGTGTTTTAACTTTTTTTTTAATGTTTATTGTATGTTTGAGAGAGAAAGAGAGAGACAGCATGAGTGGGGGAATGGCACAGAGAGAGAGAGGGAGACACAGATTCTGAAACAGGCTCCAGGCTCTGAGCTGTCAGCACAGAGCCTGACATGGGGCTTGAACTCGCTTGGCTAGGTCATGACCTGAACCAAAAGTCAGATGCTTAACTGACTGAGCCACCCGGGTGCCCTATTTAATGCAAGTTTTAAGTGGCACAGGAGCCTTCATAATGAGTAAGGACCTAAAGAAACCATTAAAACTTAATATTTTTATACTACATTTGTTGAAGAGTGTAGAGTTGTGTAGAAGTATAATAGGTCAGAGTATGAGGTTAAGTGTAGTAAAGTGGGGGAAATTTAGTAAAGCCCATTTTTTAGGACTTTTCTCCATTCTTCAGAGATGGGGCTGCTATTTTCCTCCAGGTATAAGGAAGGCCCCTGTCACATAAGGATTTTATGATCTGTTTCAGGAGAGAAGTGTAAGGGTAAGCGAGCATGACCTTCCTGCTTCTGCTGTTTTCTCAGACTTTTTAAGTGTAAAATATTCAGTATGTCAAGGTGCCATACCTTGGAGTGTTGTGTTCTGAGCTCCATCAGTATTTTGTTTTTGTAAACTATGAAGAAGTGCGTAATAAAGTCCTATTGATATTTTAATCATTTCGAGAAGCTGAGTTCAAGTGTATCATTATATATTGAGAAGCAGTCTAATGTAATAAGAGCACAGAATCAGTTTTATTATGGAAAAATAGGGATTATAGTATATGTGTTGGAAAGGTATAGCAGGTTGAAATGAGAATATACATATATTTTACCTAAAGAACTTAGCACAGTGCCTGGCATATAAATTGACTAAGAATAGTCATATTTTTTAAAAGATTGCAGGTGGAATACTTATTGTTGTAAAACATTTTAAAAATATCATATAATTTGAAATAGAACTGTTAGAAGCAGTGCCTTGCCAAGCCATATTGAAACCTGAGGCAAAATAGGGGTGTCTGGGTGGCTCAGTTGGTTGAGCATCCGATTTCAGCTCAGGTCATGATCTTACGGTTCATGGATTCGAGCCCCGACTGGGGCTCTGTGCTGAGCTCAGAGCCTGGAGCCTACTTTGGATTCTGTGTTACCCTCTGCCCCTCCTCTGCTTGCACTCTGTCTTTCTCTCTCAAAAATAAATAAACATTAAACAAAAATAAAAAATAAAAAAACCTGAGCCAAAATAAAAAAGTTCATAATACCAATCCTGTGTTTATTTTAAAAATAGTCATTTTGTTCATAAACAGATCATTTTTCAGTTATTTTAATTAAATAATACATTAAAATTTTTAATTTGATTACTGCATTGTTTTGGTGCTTTTTATATTTTGTGCTTGAGGTAATTGCTTCACTGGTTTCAACCTAGTCTTGGCCCTGGTTGGAAGTGATCTATTACTCTAATAGTCATCTGTTCAAAGCAAGAATTTATCATTTTACAAAGAATTGATTACTGATTGGCAGTCAGTCTTATTTATTGAAGTAGGTTTTCTTTGGTAATATAATCTTAGACCAGTTGGAATTAACCTATGTGTACACACTGTATTTTTAATAAAATTAGCCTAGAAAATTTTCACTAATTCAGAATTAAACCTTTCCCCCATTTAGTTTGAAACAATGAGATTGGTATATCCTTTAATGAAGCCAGTTTATTCTCTAGTGTGTAACCTTACACAAATATAAGACTTTTAAGTTCTTTAGAAAAATTAAAAGGCCAATATTTAATTGGAACAAAATAAACTTGGCATGTACTGGAATTTTGATGTGGAAGATCAAAACTCAAAACTTCCTACTTCCTACTCAAAACTGCATAGAGTCAAATTCTTAATTAAAAAATAGCTCTTACCCGGAAATTAAGGAAATCTTTTTGTTGTATTAGGATTTTTCTAGTTGAGTATAAGCAAGACTCATCAAGCATGGTTCTTACAGAAGCATATAAGTGGTTATTGAACAGGTCATTTTTTTAAAGTAGGGAAGTACTTGAGTTCATTTGAAATTCAGTATATAAATATATATAAATTTAGATAGTAAAACAATGTTAAATATATTCCATTGGATGTGTGTAAAGGAGAAGATACTTATCTTTGATATATAAATTGTGATAAATGAATTGGAATTATTTGTTTTGAAAAATTGTTGGCTATAATATGTATAACTAAATTTATTTTTATTTGAATATTGCAGTGTCTAAAAATGACTACAAAACGAAGTTTGTTTGTGCGGTTGGTACCATGTCGGTGTCTACGAGGGGAAGAGGAGACTGTAACTACCCTTGATTATTCTCATTGCAGTTTGGAACAGGTTCCCAAAGAGGTTTTTACTTTTGAGAAAACTCTGGAGGAACTCTATTTAGATGCTAATCAGATTGAAGAGCTTCCAAAGGTATGTTAATACTATCTTTTAAGAATTACCTTTGGTTTGGGGTGCCTGGGTGGCTCAGTTGGTCAAGTGCATGACTTCAGCTCAGATCATGATCTCACAGTTCCTGGCTTCAAGCCCCACAACCGGCTCTGTGTGCTGACAGCTCAAAGCCTGGAGCCTGCTTCAGATTCTGTGTCTCCTCTCTCTGCCCCTCCCCTACTCGCACGCTGTCTCTCTCTCAAAAATAAACATTAAAAAAAATTAAAAAAAAAGAATTGCCTGTGGTTATTTTTATGCATAGAGATATAATATTCCCAGTGTTGCCATAATGCTGCCAATATATATGTGTTTCCATTGTTTTCTTTGTTTCTTATCTTTTTTCCTGGTTTAATTTTATCTTAGGGTATGCAACACAATTAAGAATTTTGTAAAATAGAATTTTAAACTTTGTGTCTTCAAGCCAGTTGATTGAATATTTAAGTAAATAATTAAAATTTTATGTTTAATTTCAGTTTTTTATAGCCAGCGAGATAGAGTAAGACTATACAGTTTTGGCAGCTAGTAGATTTAGCTGGACAAATCATTAAAATTAATGTTTTCTTTTTGTAGTTTTTTATCAGACATTGGTCTATACTATTGCGATTGAGAATAAATTGTCCTTTTGGTTGTCATATAATATTTTTTGTTATTAAACAGTTTTTTAGACGTACTATTCCTTTTGCGACTTAATTTTTTTTTTTTAAGTTTATTTATTTTGCGAGGAAAATATGAATGGGGTGGGGAAGGGAAGGAAGAGAGAGAATCCCAAACAGGCTTCATACTGTCAGCACAAGCGAATCTCACAAACAGAGATCATGACCTGATCTGAAATAAATGGAAGGAAAAATAAGATAAAAACAGAGAGGGAGGCCAAACCATAAGAGACTCTTAAATACAGAGAACAAACTGAGGGTTGCTTGCGGGGTGTTGGATGGGGGGATGGGCTAAATGGGTGATGGGCGTTAAGGAGGACATTTGTTGGGATGAGCACTGGGGGTTGTATGTAAGTGACGAATCATTAAATTCTACTCCAGAAGCCATTATTACACTCTATGTTAACTAACTTATATTTAAAAAAAAAAAAGTCGGATGTATAGCCAACTCAGCCACCCAGGTGCCCGAGAACTTAACTTTTCTGAAATGTAAGAATAACTAGAGGGAGAAAGTTGGTTTGTTGCCATGAAACATCTATCCTCTCACATTATCAAAATTTTTCAGTGGCTACTTGTTTTCCCTTAAATCCTAATCCCTCTTCATTCTCAACTCAGTTTTTTGTTTATTATGGAAAAACTGCAATAGATTTAATTGTTAGAATGTTTTACTACCCAAACAGTAGTGTTTATCACAACTGTGTAGAGAGGCACTGATGGTTCATAAATATGTGTGGCATTTCCAAAAAGCAAACTATGATTTGCACTGGCAGATTTAGAAGATAAAAATAGAAGACACCCAGTGAAATTAAAATTTTTTTTTATTACGTTTCTTTATTTTTGAGAGGCAGAGAGAGACAGAGCATGAGTGGGGGGAGGGGCAGAGAGAGAGGGAGACACAGAATCTGAAGCAGGCTCCAGACTTTGAGCCGTCAGCCCAGAGCCCGACACAGGGCTCCAACCCACAAACCATGAGATCATGACCTGAGCTGAAGTCGGACACTCAACCGACTGAGCCACCCAGGCACCCCTGAAATTATAATTTTTAGATGAATGGTGAATAATTTTTTAATGTGTTTTATGCAATAAATGGGGCATACTTCTAAAAATTATTCATTATTTCCAGAAGTTCGAATTTCATCTGGCAACCCTAACTTGAAATAGAATAGAAAGTAGAGTGTGTTGCATGTGTCCATTGTTGCATGAAATATTTGTGTTAAATGTCTCTGTGTGTACATACTGGATGGCAGTCCTTTGAAAAAGGCTTTTCTTTCAGCGGCCACTAGTAAAAATATTTTGAAAGCTAGTGCCATCCAAGCTTGTCTTATAAAGAAATCTGTGTATGGCTAAGGATAAAATATTAAAGATTGCAGTTGTATGTTTATAAATTACTTCCCTAGGTTGTAATAAGGTGCTTTGTAAATTATTTTTTCCTAACATAGTTCTTTAGAAAATAATTTATCTTCCTTTTGTTATTTTGGAAAACTTGAAAGTCTAAGAGTAGTCTCTTTCTGTAATAAGTACTAGTAGGGTCTCAGTCTGAGGATTGAGGGGAAAAGAGAGGCTTGCTGTGAAAGTGCAAATAACTGAACCACTTAAGCATAACTTACCATTTTTAGAAGAATGCTCTTCTCAAATAGGGCTTATTCAGTGCCATCCTGATTAACAGTTTTTTGTTTGTTTTTCTAAACACTTTAACATTTTAAGAACAGTTGTAGGTTCACAGCAAAATCGAGATTTCTCATATACCTACACTGTTCCCACACATGCATAGCCTCCACCATTGTCAACATACTCTAGCAGAGTGGTGCTTACATTAAAATTGATAAACCTATGTTGAAAAATTATAATCACCCACAGTCCATAGTTTGCAGTGTAGTTGTACATTTATGGGTTTGGACAAATGTATAATGAAATGTTTCCATGATTGTGGTATCATACAGAGTATTTTCATTGCCCTAAAAATTCTCTGTGCTCCGTATAGTCTGTAGTTTTTTGGTATGGAAGTTAGAAGTGACCCATTTACCTACACTTCTGGTTGAATATATTTTATTTAAAACATATTTTATTTAAATAAATATATTGTATTTTAATGTATTGTGACTTTAACATAATAGGATATTTGTTCCCTTATTTTTTTGTTTTCCCAAATCAGAACTGTGTTTTTGTTTTTTAGCTTTGTTTGTTTTTGTTTTTATGAGACAGGGAAAGAGAGAATTCCAAGCAGGCTCCATGCTGTCAGCACAGGGCCCAACCTGGGGCTCGATCTCACAAACCATGAGATCATAACCTGAGCTGAAATCAAAAGTTAGGTGCTTAACCGACTGAACCACGCAAGTGCCCCTATTTTGAATCATTTTAAATCCATTGTACTTATTTGAATTTAATTTTTATAAACTTTCGTTTTGGAATAAGGATGTTTGAAATACAAGTTTCAAACTTTAGCTTATTTAATAGCCACTTATTCTTTACTACTTTAACCAAGAATACAGCCATATAAGTGTTCTTATTAAGTGCATTTTGCTTAGGGCTGAAGTGTGAATATGTAAATGATTGAGTAGTTCATTTGTGTTCAAATCTATAATAGCAGGAAACAATTAGAGATCTTTCTTGGTATTTTTGTAGATACAATTCATTCAGTTTTAGTTACACTAATATTTTTTTGTATAAATGTTAATAAAATATTTAAGGAAACTTAAATAATCAAAAACTTTTCTTTCCTTGTTTCAATAGCAACTTTTTAACTGTCAGTCTCTACATAAACTGAGTTTGCCAGACAATGATTTAACAACATTACCAGCATCTATTGCAAATCTCATTAATCTCAGGGAACTGGATGTCAGCAAGAATGGTAAGATTCCCCCCCCCCCCGACTTAAGTGGGAACACGTTATTTTGTTAAGATTTCTATTGTGTGTTAACAAACAAAAATATAAAATTTAAAAGTATTATTGTATTAGCTTCTATATATATATATATATAACTTACATATATGATAGCTTAAAGCACTATGGAGAATAAATGTAAAAAATTTTAAATGACCTTTTAATTAAAATGTTATGGATACATGCATGTACATATTTCTATATCTTTACCTTTATATATTTATAAATATTCACTGTCCTTTTGTTTGTAATGATGAGAAACTACTAACAACTGTAGTGTTCATTGTTCATTACACTGGTACAGTCATAGAGTAAAATCTAATGTAGCTCTATCAATACGGACATGAAATATTTACGGTATAGTCTTAACTGTTTAAAAAAATGTTGTGCAACATTAGAAATGAATTGAACATCTTTAAATCTTTATTGAGAGACCAGTTTTTGCCAAGTACTTTATTAGGACCTAGGATTACATTTAATGATGAGAAATAAAAGGACATGGTGACTGTTCTCCTGCTGCATACAGTTTTGGTTTAGTATGTTTAGTTTGATATAGACTGAAAACATCGGGGAAAATACATTCCAAAATGTTAAGTGCTTATCTTGTCTGAGAGAGACAAGTAGATACTTGAAAATTTTAGAATGAGCATGTATTTATTACATAATTACAAAAACAAATCACAAGACAGTAAATGTTAAATGGTCTGTCAAAAGATAAGACTTCAACGAACACTAAATACCAAGTCATATTCATATAATTCTTTGTAACATTTGGAGAAAATCTTTATAAACGAGGTCCAAAAGTTAGTGCAGTAGCACCAGTAAATGCCTAGCAATCCTATTCCATAGCTCTTGGTTGCAGAGTTACTTTTTGTCTTGATGATATGAATATCCAGGAGTAATCTTTCCAACATATCAATTCCACGTTTTAGGACTCATTATGAAAACCACATTAGGACCGATTAAAAAGATCATCCTCTTTTCACAATTAACAGTTAACTTGGAATTAATTAACGATGGTGTCTACCCATTGCCATAAAAAAAAATACTTAAAAGTCAATAAATACATTGACTGCATGCCTTGATATGCTAAGCCCTTATTATCTTAGTTGTGGGCATTCCATATCAAATAATTGTATATTTTGTAGGAAAATCATCAAATCTATACCTATTTAAGGATTAAATCCTTTTTAAGGAGGTATAATATGTCCATATGCACTCTAGATTCAAGTTCAGGTTACAGTGGTTAGTGCTCTACTGGGTTTCAATTGTCAATAGCCAATAAATTTTAAGTTTAAAAGTTTTAATTTTTTTTATTTAATTTTTTTAATGAAATTTATTGTCAAATTGGTTTCCATACAACACCCAGTGCTCATCCCAAAAAATGCTCTCTTCAATACCCATCACCCACCCTCCCCTCCCTCCCACCCCATCAACCCTCAGTTCTCAGTTTTTAAGAGTCTCATGTTTTGGCTCTCTCCCACTCTAACCTCTTTTTTTTTTTCCTTCCCCTCCCCCATGGGTTTCTGTTAAGTTTCTCATGATCCACATAAAAAAGTTTTAATTTTTAAGATTGTTATTGAATCATTTAACTTTATGGTTAAATTTTTCTGTTATATGAAAAAAAATCTGTGTTTAAAAAAAATTTTTTTTTTTTAAATGTTTATTTATTTTTGAGAGAGACAGAGACAGGATGTGAGTGGGTTAGGGGCAGAGAGAGAGGGAGACAAAGAATCCAAAGCAGGCTCCAGGCTCTGAGCTGTCAGCACAGAGCCCGACGCAGGCCTCAAACTCACGAGCTGTGAGATCATGACCTGAGCCGAAGTCGGACACTCAACTGGCTGAGCCACCCAGGTGCCACGAAAAAATCTGTTCTAGATAAAAATTTAGAATTTTTCCTTTAGATTGGATTCATTTATATCCTGTTGTTCTTCAATTTATTTCAAAAATTTCGTAGTCAAAATAAAAGCCTATGTAAGAATTGACAGAACGCTCATGGTTTCACCCACCATTAGCATTTTGCCATATTTGCTTTCTTTCTTTTTTAAAAATACGAATTTTTGAATTTAATGTTCAAGGAAAAGATATATTGTTGCTTACATAAAATTTCTTTTTAGTAAACTTAACATTTTAGGTTGCAGACATGAACTTTACCATTAAATACTGGAAGTAGCATTTCTCAAGAACTTGGAAATCCTTACATACAACCATAATATCATTATCACTTGCAAGAAATTTGACATTACATTTTCCTCTTGCCTAAAAATGCCCCTTTTAGCTATTTCCTCCCCCACCTCCAAAGTTAAAGATCACGTAGCGTTCAGTTGTGTCTCTTTGATCTTTTTTTTTTTTTTCCAACGTTTATTTATTTTTGGGACAGAGAGAGACAGAGCATGAACGGGGGAGGGGCAGAGAGAGAGGGAGACACAGAATCGGAAACAGGCTCCAGGCTCTGAGCCATCAGCCCAGAGCCCGACGCGGGGCTCGAACTCACGGACCGCAAGATCGTGACCTGGCTGAAGTCGGACGCTTAACCGACTGCGCCACCCAGGCGCCCCTCTTTGATCTTTTAAAATCAGGAATAGTTTGCCCATCTTTTTGTGTTTTTCATGACGTTGCCATTTTGAAGAGTTTAGGTCAGTTGGTTTTTAATTTGTGTGACTTTTCCCATCATGGTTATATTTAGGTTAAATAGATTTCCTCAGCTTGAAACTTCTCTTTAAGGGCAGTTTGAAATTAGTTTCAATTCCTGGTGCTTAGTAGAATGACAAGTATTGCCTGATAAATTTCAAAGTAAATGAACTTAATCCATTGCCTTTGTAGCTCTCCATATGCTGATAGTTAAGTCAGCTCCATAGTATTCTAGAATTGTGACAGTAGATGTCATTAAATGTAACCTCCATCCTAAAGGGCTATGTTTTCTACTTTTTGATCTTTTTAAATGGGAGATGTTAAGGTATAAGGAAAGAGACCTGACTATTACTAATACAATTGTATGCACCTGGGAAAGGCTGGTAAATTGATGCCACAATCATGGTATGAAAATATAGTTGGTTTGGGGCACCTGTGTGACTCAGTTGGTTAAGCTTCCGGCTTAGGCTCAGATCATGCTCATGTGGTCTCTGGGCTCAAGCCCCACATGCTGAGCTATCAGCACAGAGCCTGAACCTGCTTGGATTCTGTGTCTCCCTGTCTCTCTGCCCCTCCCCTGCTCTCTCACTCAAAATTAAATAAATGTTAAAAAAATTTAAAAAAAAAGAAAATATTACTTGGCTCAATAATGAACATATACCTCCCAAAAATGCATTAACCGCAGGTTTATTACTCTGAATTGAGAATGGTGTGATTATGGTCGTGCAGAGTCCTTAAATCAATATTTAATTTAAAAAAAAAATTTTTTTTTTAACATTTATTTATTTTTGAGACAGAGAGAGACAGAGCATGAACGGGGGAGGGTCAGAGAGAGGGAGACACAGAATCTGAAACAGGCTCCAGGCTCTGAGCTGTCAGCACAGAGCCCGATGTGGGGCTCGAACCCACGGACCGTGAGATCATGACCTGAGCCGAAGTCGGCTGCTTAACCAACTGAACCACCCAGGCGCCCCAAATCAATATTTAATTTAACTTAATATAATTTAATTTAATTTAATCCTATTTTATTTTATGTTATTTTAAAATGTTTTTTTATTATTTATTTTTGAGAGAGAGAGACAGATCATGAGTGGGGGAGGGTCAGGAAGAGAGGGAGACACAGAATCTGAAGAAGCTCCAAGCTCTGAGCTATCAGCACAGAGCCCAACACAGGGCTCAAACTCACAAACCGTGGGATCATGACATGAGCCAAAGTTGGACACTTAATGGACTGAGCCACCCAGGTGCCCCTTAAATCAGTGTTTTAGACTTTTGTGCAACTTTTAAAAGTAATGTGTTTGTTGGGGTGCCTGGGTGGCGCAGTCGGTTAAGCGTCCGACTTCAGCCAGGTCACGATCTCGCGGTCCGTGAGTTCGAGCCCCGCGTCAGGCTCTGGGCTGATGGCTCAGAGCCTGGAGCCTGTTTGCGATTCTGTGTCTCCCTCTCTCTCTGCCCCTCCCCTGTTCATGCTCTGTCTCTGTCCCAAAAATAAATAAATGTTGAAAAAAAAAATTTTTTTTAAAAAAGTAATGTGTTTGAGTTATGGCAACCCATTGGACTGTAGTCTTTCTCTCTCTCTCTCTCTCTCTCTTTTAATGTTTATTTATTTATTTTGAGAGAAACAGGGAGGGGCAGAGAGAACAAGAGAGAATCCCATGCAGGCTCCACGCTGTCAGTGCAGAGCCTGACACGGGGCCTGATCCCACAAACTGCTAGATCATGACCTAAGCTGAAATTGGATGTTCAACCAAGTGAGCCACCCAGGCACCCCCCCTTTCTTTTTTTCAGCCGTTTCTTGCTGCTTATATTGAAAACCTGTTTTATACAATTCCATCATCTTGTGAGTGTTCTTTTTATGAGTAAAGTCATATGACTTTATGAATCTTCCTTTTATGACTAAAGTTTTGGTTTATTGTTAGCTTTTTAAAGAAAGAAAAAGCTCACCAAGCTGCTATCCCAAGTCATTGCAAACAGCAACTAGTGTTCGAGAAGTTCTTATCTCTTGTGTTCAAATGGCCTTTCCTTCTTGAGAAGACTAATGGTGATGATGATTAAAATATTCTGCCAGAGTAATTGATTGGGGATGCTGGTTGGGAAGGGGAGATAAAAGAAATGAAGACTGCCTACTTGTTAATTCATCTGTTTGAGCACATGGAATAGAAAGCCAGAAAATTGTAAGAAAACCAGAGAAACCAGAAAGAGTAGTTCAGATCTTTCTGATACGGGAATGCTAGAGAGGTTAAATAAGGCCTTTCTTTTTAATTGAGTCCAAAAGCCCAGGAAGAATGAATTGAAAGTTCATGGTGAAAACAGAAAGCAGTTCATGAACCTGAGAA